AAGGCAAAGGGTAGGAAATGCGCAGCAGTGTGGGAGGGGGCTGCTGAAGTGCTGGCACTTGATAGCCTCTTGGCCAAACCAGTCAGGATCACCTGTCACAGGCTCCAAGGTCTACCAGGAGATCCCGATCTACTGGTTGGTGGACAACTGTCCTAGAGAAAGCAAAGATACTCGTACACCTGAAGGCTATATAATTCTTGGCAGCAAAGGGTAGGAAATGCGCAGCAGTGTGGGAGGGGGCTGCTGAAGTGCTGGCACTTGATAGCCTCTTGGCCAAACCAGTCAGGATCACCTGTCACAGGCTCCAAGGTCTACCAGGAGATCCCGATCTACTGGTTGGTGGACAACTGTCCTAGAGAAAGCAAAGATACTCGTACACCTGAAGGCTATATAATTCTTGGCAAACTTTATAAACTCTGAAGATTTAAGAGTCTTCCATCTAGGGATTTCAAAGCACTTATAAAACATTAACTACATCTCACAACACTCCTTTAAGTTAAGTAACAAATATAGAAGAAGCACTTTGTTCACCATTGAAGAGCAGCTATCTTTGAGGTGTACCCTAGCAGCTGTTTAAGAATGCAAAGCTATATCAATGTATTTACCTTCATTTCCTTAAAGAATAAAATTTCCCTCTTTTCTCAACATTCTTTTATGATATACTCTAAAAGATGCTATATAGCAGGTGTAATCAACTACTTTCTGCCAAGGACCAAATTTCATGGTCAAGTATAGTCAAGGAACGGACTCCAGAGGGGGAAAAATACAACAGAAAAATTGTGGGGTCCATTCAAAAGCATCAGGTGAACTGTGGCCCAAACCCAGATTGCTAGTCAACTACCCCCGCTATATAGAATATATTTGAATAGTATTGACATTTGACAAAGAAATTGATCTACCCACCTGCATCTCTCCTTTCTCATCAGGCTTTGCTGGCTTTGCAGCCTCAGTAGCAGAATTTTTCAAACTCTCTTTGCTACAGTGTAACAAGACTTCAACCACGTATAATGGGTCCAGTTCACCAGAGTTAGGCTATTGTGGAGAGAAAGACAGCAACAGTAAATATCAATTCTTCAAATACTGGTATTAACTTAGACATTCAAAAATGTTGAGACATGCTCCCCAAACTTTACCAGTTTAGTACTTCGATCCTGAAACCAATACTAGAAGTATATTTTAATATGCATGTGTCTCCCAGGTGTGCACACACATTATATAAAGGTTTTGCAATTTAATTACATCCATCCCTTTAACTCCATCCCAAACCTGCCATGTACAGAACTGCTTGTAAAGGCATGTTTTAAGAAACTTCAACATTTCCCTGCAATGTAGGAACTGCTAGATCAGGGGTGGGAAATAATTTTTTGCCGGGGCCACTTCAGAAATTTTTGAATTGGCCCCAGGGCAACCCCAGAAAGGGCAGGGCATCAAGCGGAAGGGGTAGGGCCAGGATACTTCCCTGCTTCTCCACCCACAGATCATAACTGGTCTGGGGGTAGGAGAGTGTGTGAAGTCTTTGCCCTGCCCAAAGGTTCCCCCTAGGCACCCATGCCTCTGGCAGTGGGAGGAGACTCTGCATGCTCCCCCTTCTGCCCCTAGGCCAATCAGGGCTTGGGGGTGGGAGAGCACGCAAGTCTCCTCCCACCCTGCCAGGAGTGTGTGGTGATTCTAAGCATTGCACACTCCTGGCATGGCAGAGGAAACTTTGTGTGCTTCCCCCTGCCCTAAGGCCCTAATTGGCCTGGGGGCAGGGGAGCGGCAGGGCCTCCACGGGCCAGATCAAACCACTTTGTGTGCCAGATCCAGCCCACGGAGGCCCTTTTGCCCACCCCTGTGTAGCTGTTGCAAAATTATATAGCCTTATGTAACTCCTGAAAGAAGTGTCAGAGTGGGAAGGGCCTCCTGACATCAATTTTAGAATTCAGATCTCCCAAAATCTTAACTCTCAGTATCCCGTATCCCTTTTTCTGGTAGAGAACTGAATCCTGTTTGATCCAGTCAGTAACGGCATTCAGCTGGTCAGGCAGTCTCTGTTCCACAAGTGATGCACACAGTCACCACTGGGTGAGAACACTACTACCTAAGAAGTCCTAACTTGTTTTAGTTTGGACACAGAGACTAGGCTTAAGTTAACAAATCAGCATTGCTCACGCTACAGCACCGGACGCTTGCATGATACTACCAAGCACGGTTTATATTTAATATTGGCAAAGGTTTGCAAAAGAGTTAATCTACAGGTTTGCAAGTCATATTCCCTCCCCTCCAAAACAACAGAGGTCCTTCAACAAATCTTTGCAGCATAATAGCATTTATTGTGGGAGAGAGAAGACAAGGAAGGGAAATGGCATCTTGTTGCCATATGATTGAGTAAGGGGCAAAAATATCTGACATATTTACATAAGACACAGGTATGATTTTGAGCAAAGTAGCGTGCTTTACACAGTCGTAATCTTAATGCTACCATTTTATTTTAAAAAATTACAACTTGTCTGGAATAACATGCAGCAGTGTTACTTGCTAGTAGTGCACTGCACTGAAATATTTCCTTTTATCTGGCAACAGAATCAAAGTATATAGCCACAATAAATGCTCCAATGTAAACTATGACGTACACCAGTCCAATTGTGCTACCTGTGGTGGTGCCGGGGGCCCCATGGGTGAGGTAGGGGGTTAAATTGTTCAGGGGCAGGAGGCAGGTCCAAGTGCAAGTCCTCAAATCCTCCAAATGGGCCAGTGGGCACCCCTCTCTAGCAGCACTTTGTAGGGGGAGGATAGGTCTCCACACATTCCCCACCACATGTCTGCTAGCTTCACCCACCAGCGCATGCGCTTTCCCCCGTCTCCTCCCATGCATCCCTCAAAATCAGCTTGCCACCTCCAAACAATGAAAACCCTCCCCCCCCAACCTCTGGGGGCCCCCAGCTTCATCACTGGCAGCACAGCACGATTAGAGCAGCTTCTGGTGCTAGCTCTGCACCTCTGCCAGCATGTGCCCGTGGTCCACGATGAGGCAGCTGCTCCTGGCCCAGTGCTTTGGAGAACTCTGCAGCAGCTGCCCCAATCGTTCAATGGACAGGATGGTCCCGCATACGCAAGTTAGCCTATGGGTCCCTGGGCAGGCTGGAACCAACAGCAGGCATCAGGTCCCACCCCCATACTCATCATGGCAGCTGCAAGGAAGAAGAGCTATGCAGCAACCTGCTCTGCTCCGCTGCCATCTCCCAAGCCAGTCCACACTAGGGTACTCTGCTTCCTGCCACTGCAATGAAGCAGAGCAACTGGGCTGACTAGGAGGCAATGGCAGAGCAGAGGCTGCTGCACTGCTCTGCTTCCCCAGTGCTGCAGTGAGGAGGAAGGGGATCCCTGCTGCCACTCTGTACCAGATCCCTCAGTAATCCCTGAAGTAATTGGGGAATGGGGCTCAAGAGAAAGGATGCAATGAGGGGAGAGAGCAGAGCAGGAGCGAGAAGAAGCAGAACAGGGCTGGAGCAGACACTGGACTTGGGGTAACGGTACGGACCCACCCCCACCAGAGCTCTATGAACTCACATGCCAACAGCCATGCACAGGCCAGAATGTGGATCATCTGGGCTGCAAGTGGCTCTCCCCGGACCATGAGTTTGATGTACACCTTTTTTTAAAAGTACTAATCACAGATTAACCTAAAGATTTTACAAAAAGTGATATAAACAAGATCAGCTTTAAGCGTCTCCAACTGCTCTGATGAAAACAAAAACATCAAGAGATTTCACTTTGTAGGTACCTGATGCAGAATATAGGCAAACATTCTCTAAGAGGTTCTCAGCGCCTTGTACATAACTTCCATTTGTCCAATAGTAAACATAAAATATCAGATTGTCCAGTGTGACACCCAAGTCGTTGCTGTTTTAATTTAGAAGTACAAAACCCATGTGAACACTGCCATCATCTGAACTACATGTGAAAATGAAATCCACGTGTAGTAAAGCAGTGTCAAGCCAAAACTTAAAAGTATGCTGCCTATTTGAACCTAGAACACACTAACATACATTAAAATAAACCGATTAATATAGTTTCAACACTGGAACCCCTGTAGTAGCAACAGGTGATTAAATCAACTATGTAATCTGATATTTGCTCTGAAGCATCTGATATCTGATGCTGCTGGAAACAGGATAAGAACAAGTGGATCACTATACTTCCAATGAAAGAGTTGCAAAGATATGACATTAGGATTCCTGTATGGATGATATTCAGTTTTTTGTTTTTAAAAAGCCCTCAGATAATGGTATATCATGCTGAAAAGGCCTCAACCATCAGGCTAGATAGGATCACAAGAGTCACACAGGTTAACTCTCTATCAATATATGCTATATTTAAGTGTTTTCTAAATGTAGCTTTTTGCTATAGGGAGACCTGAGAAAATATGAGAGAGAGATTACATTTTAGTTGGCTGTACTGAATGTTCTCAAGTTTGAAACTGACCTCACTTCCTAGAGACTCCGATATTCAGGATTCTCTAAATATCCAATGATACTGTGGACAACAGTGTGACAGATATATAAACTCCATCAGTAAGACGGGGTTAAGCAGTGCAGGTAGTCTTACTCCACCTCACCAGCAAAGCATGAATAACTTGCAGGAGGAGTTCACAAGGAGAGAAGGCCAAATCAATATGCAACAAACACTTTGAGTTCTTGCTGTCCAGGTCTGATTAATGACATGGCCAAACCCAAAGGAAGAAATTTAGGATTCTCAGAAGGCTGGAGGATTTCATCTTTGCTTTCCAGTTAATTCCTTTGAGGAAAAGGGGATGGATAAGTACCACCATGTTTTAGCTTATATAACCCATGGGTTATGCAAAGTTTTACAACCCCCCACGGGCTATACTCATTCGTGTGTACTACAGGTGTTTTGTTTTTTTTTACTGAAAGTACAGGAAGACAAGACCGACTCTTACTTGATAAAAGCAGCATATTTTAATTTAGTAATTGAGGTAGTTATGTGAAAGTACATTAAAATACATTCAACTAGTAAAAGAATAAATATATGGTAAAACTATTTTTTAAAAAGCCATCTTCATATTGTCATAAAATACGTAAGTTCATTCACTCCGATCTCTAGAATCAGTGCCAGCAGCATCCTCCTCTGCAGTTTTCAAAACCATCAAAACTATCATCATAGTCACTGTCACAAAAAACATCCATAAAATCCATAGCCAAGGCTAGGTGAGCTTTGATGACAGTTGATGTCTGTAGTGCCGAATCAGAATCGCTGTCGTAGTTGGATTCAGAGCTATAAGAGTCAACGTTGCTAAGAATGTCACATTTACGGAACCCATTACAAATAGTAGCCAGTTTTATTCTGTTCCAAGCAGCCAAAACCCATCTACAAACTTCCACATAAGTTGCACGGCGCTGTTGACCTGCCGGAATGAATGTGTGTTCCCCATTTGTCATCCAATTGTCCCATTCCTCTTGGATGAAGCTCTTGAACAGGTGGTTGACAGCCACATCAAGCGGCTGCAACTTGCCGTCAGCCCACCTGGAATTATGTCGATATGTGCACCCACGGAGTTTATAGGTTTCTGAACTAAAGTTTCTTTGTGGACGGCCAAGGAATCTAAAACCAGCAGAGATTTAGGATTAAAAAAACCACCTTTTCGTGCACGAAAGCAGGTGTCTGTCCACGTCATCCAGCCCTTTTTGTTACAAACCACACAAACACCAGCCGGCAGTTTCTCTCTGACATTACCGTCTTAAAAACCACCATACGTTTTAATATATCACCATTTGCCGTGCATGCCAACACTACAGTAAAACAGGTGCATTCATGACCAGTGGTTGCTACACAGACTGTTTTCGTTCCCGTTTCCACAACAGAACGAGTAGCGAATATATCAAATGACATGGGAACCTCATCCATGTTAATAATGTTGCTTGGTTTCAAGCCCAGCTGGTGAATTTCTTTATGTACAAAAGTTTTAAAATCATCCATTTTCTTTTCCCATTCATCGGGAAGCCGCTGGCCAGCAGATGTCCATGCGCGAACTGACACTGTTTCTCCGCATAAATTTGTACACCCTATTTCACGAGCTCCCCTTAAAATCATAGATTTTCTGTTCCATAGCCATAAGTCGAGCCTTGAGTTGTATGGCTACCGTTGACACCGCTGTTTGCTCTCTCTCTGTGTACAAACCCGCTTCAAGTTTTCTTCCAGGTTTGGCCACTTGGCTTTCTTTCCACTCTTTTTCTAGGTTGTAATTTTTCAAGCTCTGCTTCTTCCTTTCTCAGCTCCCGAATAAACTTTTCATTCACAGAGTATTTTCTCCCTGCGGCTCTCTTTCTATTGTCCTTTGCTTATGTCACAACACACAATTTAAAATCGGCTGTGTAGGATTTGCGCTTAGGCATGTTTAAAAAGTTTAAAATATCTTTTTAAAATTCAGTACAAGTTACAACTACTAAAGGAATAAATGAATGGTAAAACGGTGGTTAAAAGGGGCTATATACCAGCGATAAGGGTTGTTGCGTACTTACTGCTCAGCATTATCAGCTGTGGCTCATTAACACTTCCTTACAGGTGCTGTTCATTAATAGTAACCTCAGTTCATCTCCTGCGGGCTATACACGCGCACGGGGTATGTAAGACTATTTTTACTCAATCAGGAAAAACCGTGAGTTATATATGGGTGCAGGTAATACTCATGTGTGGGTTATATACGCTAATTTACGGATAATCCAGGGAAGCAGCATCATAGAACTCTGGTAGTGCAGGATCCAGCTGCTTACACTGGGTCCTAGGTCAGAACCAGTGGAAAGGGTGAGGTTGGGTTCCCCTACCAACTCCTAGGGGTGCCAAAGGCATAAGCTAACCCTGGATACGGGAAGTCTACAGGAGAGAAGGGCCTGAGGAATAAAGGGTCAAGATCTCAAACCAAGAAGACCTCGAGATCCTTGCTTAACCCAAGGTTACCCTGTTGCTGGACTCTATATATATTCTGAAAGGGAAAGAAATGAAACACGTGACCTGGCCAGAGGGCTTAGTCACAGAAAAGGCTGACCACTAAAGCAGTGGTTTTCAAACTTTTCTTCTTGTGACTCAGTTGGGAAAAATCATTCATGCCTGTGACCGCTCTTTTTAGAGCGGTCCTATGTCACCTCCAGCTGCTGGGGAGCTTTCCCCCGCACCCTTCCCCCAGAGCGCTGGCTGCTGATAGAGTTGCCAGGTGTCCGGTTTTAAACTGGACAGTCCAGTATTTGAGCTTTCTGTTTGGGGAAACAAATTGAAAAAATATAAATGAGAAAATATAAATGTCTGGTATTTTTTAAAATCAGATGTAATGTAGATTGTGATGTAATGTCAAGTGTGTCCAGTATTTTTGCTGAAACGGTCTGGCAACCCTAGTTGCCAACCAGGGCAAAAGTAATTTAAGTTTCTTACAGGTACTGTCCTATTATTGAGCTTTCTGTTTGGGGAAACAAATTGAAAAAATATAAATGAGAAAATATAAATGTCTGGTATTTTTTAAAATCAGATGTAATGTAGATTGTGATGTAATGTCAAGTGTGTCCAGTATTTTTGCTGAAACGGTCTGGCAACCCTAGTTGCCAACCAGGGCAAAAGTAATTTAAGTTTCTTACAGGTACTGTCCTATTA